ATACATACATACATACATATATATATGTATATATGTATATGTATAGTAACTTCTACAACCTGAACATCTGTCACCACAAACATTTAGGTTGACTTCGAAGTGTGTTCTCTTCCAGTCGTCGCACCGTTCTGCCGCTGACTCAAGTCTCGTACCACGGCTCGGTCAGCGCGTTATTTGATGTCAGAGCAGGAACTGTCCAGACACGTCCAGCTTCACTCAGTGACACCAGCAGACAAAACAAGGAAGCTCATGTGAAATGTAAAGAGCACATGTGAAAACTGTCCGTCTGCGTGTTGCTGCAGGTGTTCCATGTGTTTTTTCTTCCAGACTGCCTGTTCAAGGTCTGTCCCATGAGCCGCTACTCGGCTCAGAAACAGTACTGGAAAGCCAAACAGGCCAAACACGAGAAGGACAAGATCTCTGACGTGGTTCTGCTCCAGAAGCTGCAGGTGCACACACTCTTCAGGAACCCTTTTAGTTCCTTCACTCCTCGTCTTGTCCTGAGCTGCACTTCCCTCAGCGTCTTCAACACATAATGAAGATCTTCCAGATGTTTCCAGACCGTTGGGTTCATCGGCAGATGTTAAAACTAACCACATTTACTTTTTTCCAGCATGCGTCCAACCTGGAGCAGAAGCAGAACGAGACAGAAAACAAGAAAGTCCATGGGGACGTTGTCAAATATGGGACTGTCCTACAGGTAACTGAAGAGTGTCCAGCTTCTCTAAAACGACCTGCAGGTTTCTTCTTGTTTGTGTCGTGGACGTCTCTTGAACGTCTCCTAAATGTGTCCTGGGTGCTTCGTAAATGTCTTCAGAACGTCTCCCATCTCCAGAATGTCTTCCTAACATCTCCTGGCTGTCTCTACCTGAACATCACCTTGATGATGTGACTGCAGTGTTTGCAGATGACACTGAGATCTGTGGTGAGAACAGGGAACAGGTGGAAGAGAACCTGGAGAGGTGGAGGTATGACCTTTAAAGAAGAGAAATGAAAGTCAGCTGTAGTAAGACAGAGTATATGTGTGTGAATGAGAGGGAGACAGGTGGACAACAGGGAGACAGGTGGACGAGAGGGAGACTGGTGGATGAGAGGGAGACAGGTGGATGAGTTGGAGACAGGTGGACAACAAGGAGACAGGTGGACAAGAGGGAGACAGGTGGATGAGAGGGAGACAGGTGGACAACAGGAAGACGGGTGGATGAGAGGGAGACAGGTGAACAACAGGGAGACAGGTGGATGAGAGGGAGACAGGTGGACAAGAGGGAAACAGG